TGAACCCTAAATAGCTGTGACAAATCTCAGTCAATTTAGGTAGTTTATTTTGCCAAAGTCAAGGACGTGCACCTGTGACACAATCTCAGGCGGTCCTGACAACATGTGCCCAAGGTGGTTGGGGAACAGCTTGGTTTTATTTATTTTACGGATACATGAGACATCCATCAATATACGTAAGATATACATTTGTTCCATCCAGAAAGGTGGGGCAATTCAAAGTGGGGAGGGGGCTTCCAGGTCACAGGAAGGTAAGAGACAAACGGTTGCATTCTTTTGAGTTTCTGATTAGCCTTTCCAAAGGAGGCAATCGGATATGCATTTATCTCAGTGCGCAGAGGGATGACTTTGAGTTCTGTCTGTCCTTTGTCCACAAGGAAATTCCTTGAGCGGGAGGTAAGTAGCTTTTCTAACTTAGTAGCTTCCTTTTTAGTAATAGAATGGGAGGCAGGTTTGCCCTAAGCAGTGCCCAGCTTGACTTTTCCCTTTGGCTTAGTGATTTGGGGGTCCCAAGATTTATTTTCCTCTCACAACTTTATGTGTCTATGACTCAAAAGAGCAAAGCAGCATCACCTTTTGAACATCTGAGAGGGGTTTGCCGTCAACTGAATATGTATGTACTCCAAAATTTATATGTTGAAATCCTAACTCGTTGGTATGATAATGGGCAAGCCCTTTTGGATGTGATTAGTGCTCTGAAAAAAGGTTCCCTTCCGGCCGGGTGTGGTGGCTCACGCCTGTAATCCCAGCACTTTGAGATGCCGAGCTGGGCGGATCACTTCAGGTCAGGAGTTTGAGACCAGCCTGGCCTATATGATGAAACCCTGTCTCTACTAAAAATACAAAAATTAGATGGGCGTGGTGGCGGGCCCCTGTAATCCCAGATACTGGGGAGGCTGAGGTAGGAGAACCACTTGAACCCAGGAGGCAGAGGTTGTAGTGAGCAGAGATCATGCCATTGCACTCCAGCCTGGGTGACAAGGGCAAAATTCCGTCTCAAAAAAAAAAAAAAGGAAAAAAACCTCCCTTCCACCATGTGGGGACACAGTGAAAAGGTATCTGTTCATGAACCAGGAAGCAGCTGTCACCAGACACAGAATCCACCAGCAACTTGATGTTGGACCTCCCAGTCTCCAGAATTGTGAAACATAAATTCCTGCTGTTTATAAGCTACCCAGTTTATAATATTTTTGTTTTAGCAGTCAAAACAGATTAAGACAGTCCAACCTGATGGTCTTATTTTAATTTAATGACCTCTTTAAAGCTATATCTCCAAATACAATCATATTCTGAGGCAGTGGGGGTTAGAGCTTCAACATATTAATTTGGTGGGGTGGGGAGCACACAGTTTAGGCCATAACAGACGGCAACAACAAGTGATATCTCCAAATTCAGAAGAAATTCAATTCCTTGTAATGAATTAAGACTTAGACCCAGAGAGGCAGTAACTGCCAAGAAAATTCAAGAGTCTTACAACTAGAACAATGGTCCATATAAGAAGATAACCTGGTTTATCATGACAATACATTCACCGCCTACAGGGGACCCTCTAAGTTCTAGAAGCTGAGAAGAATTTGGTTCTATATTTAGGGCATCATGAATTCAAAGGGGTGAGAAAAAATATGATATTAGTACAAAACATGTGCACAGAAGTACACAAGCCATTTGCTCCGCAGGGAAACAATATAGTGAAATGTCAGCAGACTTTTCAGAAGTCAGAAATCAGAAAAAATATCACATAAAAGGAAAGCAACAGATTCCACTTTCAAATTCAGCTTTCCAACTTGGAATTTGAATTTGAAAGTAGAATCTGTTGCTTTTCTCTTATGTAATCTTGTTTGAGAAACTCAGGTAATCAGTTTCAATCTTTTCAATAATATGAAAGTCCTGAAAATATCTACTTCATGGGAGTAAATGAGATAATATGTATTAAATTGCCATAAAATACTACAGTTTCACATGTGTAAGCTATTGGTAGCACTACCAAACATAATAATTGTTGCTTTTTTGTTGATAGTTTTTTTTTGGTAAGTCAGCTATTACATTAACGTCTTTACATACAAGATATCATTTAACCATAATTTACAAATAAAGTCATTCAAAAGTGTCTGAAATAAATAGTCAAGTCAGAAAAACAAATATGTCAATAAAAAATAATTATTTCTAAGAAATGGTTTGCCAGTGTTATTTAGTAGAGGCTTTCCAAATTCAGCAGATGTGAATTTACCCATAAAACAGTAATTGGTCCACAGGAAAACATGACTAAAAATGTGGCATATGAAAAGAAAGCAATCTTTCATTTACACAGAATTGTCATATTTCAGGTAATCTAGTGACATGGACATTAAGTTTCATGGAGATTGGGAAAAAGGTGGGTCGAAAATGGTGGGTCAGAAACGAGGAAGAGAGGACTGGCACGGTGGCTCACACCTGTAATCCCAGCACTTTGGGAGGCCAAGATGGGTGGGTCACCTGAGGTCAGGAGTTCGAGACCAGCCTGGCCAACATGGCAAAAACCCGTCTCTACTAAAAATACAAAAATTAGCCGGATGTGGTGGTGTGTGCCTGTTATCTCAGCTATTTGGGAGGTTGAGGCAGGAGAATGGCTTGAACCCAAGAGGCGGAGGTTGCAGTGAGTCGAGATCGTGCCACTGCACTCCAATCTGGGCAACAGAGTGAGACTCCATCTCAAAACAAAACAAAAACCAAATATACTAACAGTCTATTCTATCAGACCCCTTAATTTGACTCAACCAAATCCTCAAGGACATTTTGCCCTGGATTATTGAAAATATGGACAATTCAATAATAATTTAGACGTGGGCCTATAACATGATAGGAAAAGAACAACTTTAAAAGTTGGTTTTGAGGTCATACACAGATGGGTTTGTGGGCAAAGGGCAAGGACAACTTCACAGATCAGATGTCATCTGAGCTGGGTGATGGAGCTAAATAGGAAGCATTCTTGTGAATAAGTCAAGAAACAACATTTACAGAAGAATGTTCACATTGTGGAGGTTTGAAACCACTGGGGAAGAGCTGGATCTTTTTGCAGCTTAACTACCTCCTATCCCTCTGTGTCCCTCCACTTCCTCTGTGCCCTCAGGGGATTGTCTTTACACAGGCATGGCACAGCCCTTGCCTTTCCTCTTAGATTTAGAATCAGTCAGTGGGAGGCACTGGGCATCAACAGCACCTTGGAAAAGAGAAAATTGAGGCCAGGGATGCAGTCCTTCAACGTTTTTCCTGTCAGCTTACTTCAGGTTGGCTTTGTCACGTGACCAAAACAGCTCTCACTGAGCAGCCTTAAATCTCTTTATCCCGGTAATGGTTCCTTCCTCTTTTCCCTTAGGCTCAGGAGGGTAATTAATAGCTCCTCCTTGGTGCTAGCCCCAGGGGACTGCAACTTAACTTTCTGGTTTCTTTTCACCCTGTCCATATGTGAACAGAATAGTCTTTTTGTAAAACTTTCCTTTGTTACTCCCACTTAAGTACATAATCTATATTCTGATGAGACCCCCATTGAAATATTTACATAACATCTTAACTGACAAAAAATCTAAAATTCATTCTGTGTAATGTCTGGCCAATCCCCCAAACCCAGGTTTAACTTATTTGAGTTTTTTTCTATTCTTTCCTCCCTCCTTTCCTATTGAGATGAATGGACATTTGATGTTACCAGGAATATGAGTAATGACTTGGAAGTTACCATTTGAACAATTGACATTCTTGAGGTAAGAAAACTATTTTGCATCGAAGTTTACTATTACTGAAGAACAGACTTTATATTCATAAGTCTGTAAAAGTCCTCAGAGATCATCTAACATTGCCCAGCAGTGCCAAAGACTGGCTCATAATGGAAACCACCTAGACAGCTATCTAGAAATATATATCTTCATTTCCCAAACTCACGAATATCACCTGCATCAGAATCTCTCAGGGGAGCATCCGAATTTTACTTTATTTTATTTTATTAATTTTTAGGTTTCCTGACCTATGATTCTCATTTAAGGGGTGGGAAATCTAAAGACTACAGAGGTTCTGTAACTTTCCAAAGCTCAAATAACAAGACAGAGACACGTGAGAATGAGATGCACTCTTCCTGACTTCCTGTTGTTGAGAGAAAGGAAAATTAAGAAATGGGGAAAATCTATGGACATGTTAGACAGATAGTTAATGCCTTCATTTGGTAAAGTATATCCCTGAACATAAATTAAGAAAAACAGGTTGTTTTTCCTAATCTCTAAAATGTTAAATTTGTCACGTGATCTCCTGTGCCTTACAAAGATGTTAAGGCTCTTGTCATTTTGGGCCGGGCACGGCAGCTCACACCTCTAATCACAGCACTTTGGGGTGCCAAGGCTCTTGACCCGAGGTCAAGAGTTTGAGACCAGTCTGGCCAACATGGTGAAATCTCGTCTCTACGAAAAATACAAAAAGAAAAGGAAAAAATTATCTGGGCGTGGTGGCGCACTCCTGTAGTCCCAGTTACTCGGGGAGGCTGAGGCAGGAGAATCACTTGCACCTGGGAGGCAGAGGCTGCAGTGAGCCAAGATCATGCCACTGCACTCCAGCCTGGGCCACAAAGGGAGACTCCGTCTCACCCCCACGCCTCCCAAAAAACAACTCTTGTCATTTCGGTATGGACCTTTTTGTTCAGTTGTTTCCTACAATGATGTGATAATCAGCAGTTTCCCAACGTTGTTAACATACTAGGATTCCACTTCCACAGGAAGGACTCTGTGTTCTGATAAATGATGGAAATAGTCATTTCATAAATCAGATGATAACCTCAAGCTATGGCTTTGAAGTATCACTGATGTTTTCCAACTCATTTCCTAAGGAAAGAAAGCCCGCCAAAGCACTCCAAGAAGATAAACAGTATTTGGCCAGTGGAAATCCGGAGTCTAAAGACAATCAACTGATCAAATATTTTCTATCAGAAAATCATAAAAATTCACATAGTTTATAAAAGAGTTTCTCCCACTACAGTCCTTTTAACAACAAGGTATTAATTAATTTATTTTCTCTTCACCAGTAAAGTAAGAATAAACCAGAAAAAGAGAAGCAACCCGTTAATTTCAGTATGGATGAGCTTCAACTCCTGATAACTTAAAGCAGGTATTCTTTGGCTTCCTCTGCTATCTAAAACCAGAGCAACAAGAAGATTCTCCAACAGCAAAATCTTATTTACAGTTAACCAGTTGATCTTATCCTCTGCTAACTTTCTCTCTATCAATTTAGGTTATCTGAGCATGACTGAGCATGTAGAAAAGTCAGGCCTTGATTTTCAAAGGGCAGACAGGAAAGTATAGTCACTCGACTTCGGACCATTGTCCTAGGATCTGAAGTATCTTTAAGTAGTATTGTGATTAACCTCATTGTGATCAGCTGGGGCTAAAGTTTTTATTTGTCTCCTGACCCCTCTAGCCTCGGAACTCTCCAGAGTTTTTTAATTGGAGACATCTTCAGTATGATTTCCAGGTCCCTAGTAACTTCAAAACTTATCTATACAGACTTCTGTTTTTGAATTTGTAAAATAAATATGATGATGCATTTTATAAGAGCACTATGATTGGGTATGGTGGCTCACACTTGTAATCCTAGCACTTTGAGAGACCAAGACAGGAGGATTGCTTGAAAACCAGGAGTTCAAGACCATTCTGGGAAACAAAGGGAGACCCTGGTCTCTACGAAAAAAGAAAATAAAGACCATTAGTTTCAGTTGCATATTTCTTCGGTTAAATGAAAGTAGGCAAATCACACATTGTATTTTGGGTATTTAGCAATGGGTTATTCACGTTTAGTTGTAAATGGTGCTTAAAAATGTATTTTCACCCAATAACAAAATGCCACAGAAATTAGAAGTAATGTAGTTTAGTATGTTAAGACCTTAATTTCTCTCATTTAATTTTCTCATTATTTGTGGGTGTAAAACCCCATACTCCTTTGGAATAATCTCGGTTTATTTTAAAAGTTTTGGATGGTGATCTAAGTGATACTCCATTTTAGGCTTGTGATTAAAAAGAGGATATTTGAGTTCTAAAATCCTTAACAGTATATCAATAAAGGTTAACACATTGTGCAAACTATACAAAAAAACAAATCTATGAACATTACGGTGCAGTATCTCTGACTTAATTTGGGAGTTTTGACCAAAAATTGCCTTATTGGCCACTGGAGGTCACCATTGTTCTCTCTAAACTTTGGAGACAGAAAAAACAAGAGGCTCAAAAGCATGGGTGGGTATAGAGGTGGGGAAAATATTTTTCCCTAATGGTGTTATTAATAACATTGAGAAACTTATTTTATGTGGCAAATTTCTCTTTTATCATTATTGATCTGTGATAAATGCAGTAAGAATGCTTTCAACATTTTAAGATCCCCTTTAAATTCTTATAATTTGTCTGATTTCAAATGACAAAAATGGAATTTAAAATTGTTTTAGAATTCTGAGTTATAAGTGCTTTCCCTTTTTGCATTATAACTGAATCCTAACTTTCATTCTTAGAATGTTTTTCAGAAATAAAATTGATCACGAATCATCTCATTTCTCCAGCATCTTAGGTTGGATTTCCTAGGAACAGAACCTGTGACAGGAATTCAGGTGGAGCTGTTTTAGGTAAGGGGAGCCCTGAAGAGAAGAAAGAGTAGAGAACAGGACAAGGCAGGGAAGGAGCTAAGCAGGAATGTGGTCTCAGCTGAAGAGGAGGTTCAGCCTGGATCCATGGGGAGCAGAGCTCTGGAGCATAAATTGCACCTCATGGCAGGTCCTGCCTTGAGGCAAATGCTCCACCGTTTTCTCCCTGTCAGCCTGTCATTAGCTATGGGTTGTAGAAGGCTGGGGTGGGATGGACATAACTCCTCAGGCTTGAAGAAGGAAATTTTCCAGAGATGGGGGTAGGTGTGAGCTGTGAACAGCTGTCATCTCAGCAACCGAGGAGGTGGTGCCACAGCAGGTGCAGTGGATCTGGGTATGGCAGCACCACCACCATCCACGCAGAGAAGTAAAACCCTCAGTAATTAACCTCTGAGTTAATCAAAAGTAACCACTTGATCAATTTAAGAGAGTGTCTGTGACAAAGCCATTTTTCTTCTGATTATTTATTAGTCAAATTAAAAGGAGAACTCACTTTTTTCCAAATAGGAGAAAGCTAGATTTGATGGCTGGTTCTATCTGTAGTACTAAATAAATAAATACATAAATACATATAAATCAATAAAAAATTAGTAACTGGACTTTTATAGGCCTCATTTTTTTCAATATATAAGTACAATTACAGCAACTTTTAAAGGTATAAGAGTTAAAAATTTGTTTTTTAATATAAAAGTAATTAATATGTCAAGATTTATTAATATTATAAGTTCTATAATTGGCACAGTACTACTTCTCATTTTATGTGTAGGGTAGAATGTCAAAACTACTGCGGCAGGAATAACTGGCAAAGAGGGAACATTTCTACTCTGCAAGATACAGTCTTGGTCCTTTGCATTTGGAGTCATTTTTTACTGTCCCAGCACTGTCTACTAGGCAGACCATGTGATTTCTCTTTCTCTGGGAAGCAACGAGGCCCAGCAATTTTGAGTGACACCTAACATTGTGCAGCTACTAGGTAAGAGCCAGATTTGAACACAAAGCTGAAATATTTCCACTAGTATCGGGTGTTGAATTGCTCTATGTCAATCTTCTGATCAGTAAACTGCCTACCTAATTTGGATAAACAACTTACAATGAGAGCATTTTTCCAGCCAATTCATCTTGGTAGTAAGACAGTTTGCTCTGTACTTTAGCTTAAAGACAATTGTCCCATAGAAAGTGCCACAAGAATATAATGGCAAAGGTTCTTTTATATTTCTGGTTTATAATTATATATCATTGTCCTCAATCCTACTACTGCTAAAGAAATTCAATTCCTCCGATGTTGTCTTTTTCAAAAACTATACAGGCTGGGTGCTGTGGCCCAGGCCTGGAATCCCAGCACTTCGCAAGGCCAAGGCAAGAGGATTCCTTGAGCCCAAGAGTTCAAGAGCAGCCTGGGCAACATGTTGAAACATCGTCTGTATACAAATACACACACAAAAATCAGCTGGACATGGTGGTGTGCATCTGTAGTCCTAACTACTCAGGAGGCTGTGGTGGAAGAATCCCTTGAGCCCAGCAGGTCGAGCCTGCAATAAGCTGTGATTGCACCACTGCACTCCAGCCTGGATGACAGAGCAACACACCCTGTCTCAAAAACAAAAACAAAAACAAAAAACTATACAACAGAGCTCTGAAAAAAATCACACTTTCAAGTACTTGAAGAAGAGAAAAAATTTGTTTCTGTTCCTCTTGTTTTCCTCCTTCCTGAATATTGTTTCTTTAGTCCTTTTTATATTGCATTCCCCAGTTAGCTGATAATCTCTTCACCTTTTCTCTGAGTTCTCAACATCCAGGGTTAAAAACAGGTCCATGTTTCTCTCAGTGCATGTGCCCAGCATGATTAAAAAGGAAGGCTTGCTTCATAGGTGCAAGAGCCTGAAAAGAATTATGTTTTAAATTTAATCATTTCATATTGCTGCCATTTACTTTATGGCTCATTAAGAATACCAGGTCTATTATTTTCCATATTTTTTTTTTTTTTTTGCCAGTGTTTCGCCTATTGCTTTTCTGCTGTGTATGCATTTTTCAATTACTATATATTATTTCTTGCATTCCTCATGCTTTTTAAATTACTCTTCCCAAGACTCTACTGAAACAGACTGAGGGAGGAGGTTGAGTGATGATGGGGGTAGCAGAGAGGGTTTGGCTGTTTCTTCATATGTCCTGTGGGAAGTATCTGGCCTTAATTGTTGGTGAATATTTCACTGATGTCTCATTTAAATGTGGGATTCATAATACCTCTTTCATCCTCAGCCTTGGGTCCTGGCAATTAATTCCAGGGCAACAGGAAACATCACACTCAAAGTTTTGTCATAAAAATATGATTTGATTTAACTTCCTTTTTTTCAGTTGGGGAAACTAAAGCTCAGAAAGTTTAAGTGACATGTCCAAAGTCACACAAATGGTGGAGGTAGAATTGGTATTGAAGCTTAGGCTTGTCTGGCTCCAGGCACCGCACATGTTCAGTAACAATGACTCTACAAAGGCATGAGAATTTCTGGGATAGTGACTTAGGAAACTTTCCTATGGGTTCTAATATAACGTGTTAGGTGAAACATCAGAGTATAAAATATACAAAGACATCTACCCCTATATTTGGGGGGACAGAGCCAAGAGATCAGATGGGTGCTCCTAACCCTGCATGTCCTGCCCCTATGTTTTCTCCACATCTGGCTCTGTCCCACACCATGAGGAATCTCCTGCTGTCCCTTGAGCCTGAGGTTGCCTCAGCAGAATGAATCTGGGTAAGAAGACTCTGCAAACCCCAGCAGCAAGCAGAGATCCACTTTGGCAGGGAACATCAGAGTCTTGAGTTCCTGGCCAGATGTCTAGAAAAATAGGGATTGTGGGTTACAGATGGTCCTGTAACCTTGCCACACAGACTTCTCATAGTAAGAGAGGGCTGCAGCTGGCAGAGGAGCAGCTCAGGGCAGGACGGAGACCCCAGTGCCTAGGACTAAGCAAAGTACTGAATATGGTTCTACAGGATGTCCGCTTCTATAAACCGGCACAGGTTTATTATTATCAAGCCACCCAAAGTACAACTATTAAACCTGGGCTAAGGCTAATTTACTGTTATGCACCCGTCTGACTGTGGGAAACCTTCTTCTCTTTGCTAATACGAAATATGTAGCCACTCCGGTGGGCTGTCATGCTAACAAGAGTAAGGAATTGGTTAAAGAAAAGGAAAAGTAAAGCATCCAGAGCATTCTTTCTAGCTGCTGGCTATTAAATATATTTCTTTAATTTAATATTTACTGAGGCACTTTGTGCCAGACATTGGAGTTATGTAGGAAATAAAAATAAACAAGATGATATTAATGCAATAATAAAAAAAGACAACCTACTATGTACTAGGCATTGAGCACAGTTGCAGCATATTGAAGTTACCTCTTTAACCAAACAGACATGGTTCCTGCCGTTATGGAAACTTACAGATTTTAGGCACAAAATACACATTAAGTTAATGACTTGTACATATCAATAATTGCAGTTATAGTAAATAGTATTGAGAACTTTTGAGCTGTGTGAGAATGTATTTTATTTGCTAAAATGTGTTCCTCTGAAGTTCTGATGTACTAATCTCCAGCATCTCAGGATATGATTACATTTGGAGACAGGGTATTTAAAGAGGCAACGAATTAAAATGAGGCGGTCAGGGTGGTCCCTGGTCCAATATGATTGGTGTTCTTTTTGAAAGAGTTTAGGACACAGTCATGTACAGAGAAAAGACAATGTGAAGATACGAGGAGAAGACAGTCATAGAAGTCCGGGTAAGAGGGCTCGTTTCTTGACCTCAAGAAACCAACCCTGCTGACACCTTGATGTAGTGTCAGAGGCGTTTGGATCAGAGCAACTCCATCTTGAATAGGAGCTGGGCAAAATAAGGCTGAGACCTACTGGGCTGCATCCCCAGACAGTTAGACATTCTAAGTCACAGGATGAGATAGGAGGTCGGCACAAGATTCAGGTCATAAAGACCTTGCTGATAAAACAGTTTGCAGTAAAGAAGCTGGCTAAAACCCGCCGAAACCAAGATGGTGACAAGACTGACCTCTGGTCGTCCTCAATGCTATGACAGCATTCAATGCTATGTCCCAGCACTATGACAGTTTACAAATGCCATGTCAACATCAGGAAGTTACCCTATATGGTCTAAAAAGAGGAGGCATAAATAATCCACCCCTTGTTTAGCATATAATCAAGAAATAACCATAAAAATGGGCAACAGCAACCCTCGGGGCTGCTCTGCCTATTGAGTAGTCATTCTTTTATTCCTTTACTTTCTTAATAAAGTTGCTTTCACTTTACAGACTCTCCCTGAATTATTTCTTGAGTGAGATCAAAGAACCCACTTTTGGGGTCTGGATTGGGAACCTTTCAGATAACATTAGGACTCCCATCATTTAGAACCGTGAGAAAATAAATTTAGTTGTTTAAACCATTCAGTCTGTGGTATTTTGTTATAGTAAGCTCAGGAAACTAATATTGTTTTTAACAGGGAATCCATATCTAGTGAAGGGTGACTAGAATAAAACATTTTTGAGACCCAAAGGAAAAATAAATCTTTACCTGGCCATTCAGGAGACTTGATGGGATGGGACAGGTATAATTCCTGGCAGAAGGTGGCAGAAGGCATGGGCAAAGCTCCTGAAACAGAAGAAATCTGAATCACGGATGAATTGGGAAGAAAGTCAAATTTGAGCCACAGTGATAAAGGGGCTGAATGGCCTTTAAGCAGTCATTTTGGTTGGTGGAGGTTGAAGTGAGTGCGTTTCCTAGTATTAAAAAAAGGAATAAAAAGAAAAGAAAACAAGAAAGAGTGTGAAAATCTGATTTACTTGATAGACATTCCTAGATAGTTGGAAACTTTTGATTGACGATACACATGATTTTACTTATAAATAATTGAGGCCCTCTAATATTTTAACAAGAAAATTTAACAACAGATTCAGAATCTAGGAAGTCAGGTTTTGTTTTTATAGTGTGTGTTTATCGACACCTAGCGGCGGGATTTTGAGTTGTTCTAAAATACTCGAATAACACTTTGTTCACAGTACAGATTTCAAGTCATTCTCAAAATGAATTTATTCATTTATTCTACAACTAGTTACTCAATCAATTTATGTAGCCAGCACTGGTTTTTTTTTGTGTGTAATTCAACTAAACTGAGCTCTACTCCCTCCTTTAACATAATGATAATACAAATTCAATCGTGGCAGTAGCTTCCATTTATTAAGCACTTATGGAATATTCACCACTCAGGTAGGCAGTTTTTTGATGTTATCTCGTTTGACTTTGACAACTAAGCTCAAAGCTCTTATCCTCTTCTCAGATTAGGAAACTGAGGCTCAGAGAGGTAACCCTCAGGGTGCAGTTTCCTGGTCTATGTTAGTGAAATCCTTCAGTGTAGAAAAGCCTTAATACATCTGTATTGTGTTATCTTTCTTATGAGTCACCGTAATGGCAGATGCCTGAAGACTACTGCATGGAGAAACTGGGCAATTAATTAGTATCCAATTATTATTTTTAATTTTTTTGTTACACTTTGATTTCTGGAGTACATATGCAGAAGGTGCTGGTTTGTTACATAATTATGAATATGCCATGGTGATTTGCTGCACTCATCAACCTGTCGTCTACATTAGGTATTTCTGCTAATGCTATCCCTCCCCTAGCAATTATTAGGGTCTTATGAGTCCTCAATTATAAGCGATGCAATCTTTTTGAGTCCTAGCTTGAAAGTGGCAAACAAATATTCTTCTGCAATCTATTGGCCAGAGCAAATCACAAGGCTCACTCGGATTCAAAGGAATGAATAAATAGCCTGTTGATGGGATGAGGTTCAAAGTTTCACTGCAAAACAAATGAAACAGAGAGACAGGAAAAACAGGAATAATGCCTGCAATCAATCAATCCGCCACAGTAAAACAGCACAAGGTGCCAAGGGAGCATACAGTACATGCATATATTCCAGCCCAGCAAGTTAGATCTTTCCCAGAGGCTGCAACTTCTGGGCTTCATCTTGAATGATGGTTGTCACTGAAAAGGTAGGGATGAGAGTCAGAGGAGGGGAAAGCACTTCAAGGCAGCAGTAACCTAAGCAGGCATAAAGTCAGGACACAGTACCTTTTTGAAAAGTATGGTATTTGTGGTGGGAAGTGAAAAATGAGAGGCAAAAAACAATTTCTTAAAACACAGTCAACCTTTTATGCATTTTGGAAATCCTCTATGCTTGCTTTCTTTTCAAATTATTTTGTTACCTTGTTACCTAACAACTTAAGTTTTTTTGCTCTCCTTGATGTGCAGAGGCAGCGGAAAACATACCCTGGAACAATGTAATTTTTGACTTTCACTGTGCATAGAAATGTCTTTTTTGACAGAGTTGTCCTCACTACTATGTTTTGAAGGGCTAATGAATATTTCTTCTACTGAGCTAGCCCAGAAGGGAGTCATTTAGAATGCCTGATGTGTGGATAGATGGCCGTCAATCAATTTGTCTACCAAGTAATTCTCTGAATGCCAGCGGATGGTGAAGAAAACTAGAAGGAATTTGACAAGAGAAAGTATGACTTTTAGGCCATTGAGGTTTTCTTTCAAATACCTGGTATGATGAAAGGGAAATAGAAAAAAGACTCCAACAACTGTTAACACATGGGACTAAAAGACGAGTATGTAATATAGAAATTGATAAAACCATTATCTAGATAAAACCATTAGTCTAGATGAGCTTTTATAAAGAATTTGATTCTCATCATTTTCTATTGACTCTTCAGGGTATAGCATAGTTCACAATTTAAAATTACCTTAGTTTTCGTAATTTCAAAAAATATCAAATTTTGTTGTAAGTTATGAAATACTGACCCCAAGCCAAATTATTTTGTCATTTGTTTGGAGTGAGATCCATGAGTTCCTGAAGACATATGGCCAGAAGTGAAATATTTTCATAACTATAAGATAATATTGTTATTTTTAATAGCTTTGTTTTTCAGGGTTTTAGCATTTCATATACAGAATTTTCTTTTCCCAACTGCCCTCACCTATTTCCCTGGCATACTACTAGTATTTACCTGAGACTTAACTCAAGTTTGTTTTTGCCTATGTAAAACTTATTCTGTCTTTGCAACACTGCTCCACCCCTACTCACAGAATTGAACACTCTCTTTTTATGTGCAAGCACTGAAGTTGGTACCAGTCTCTAGGATCTACTCTAATATCTGTTATCACAGCATATTGCACATTGTATTAATGTCTTCTTCACTATTAGGCTGTAATTTCTTTAAGAGTTAAGTCTGTGTTTTCTTGCTCTTTGTGTCCTTTCTTCCTATGGTGATGACATAGCAACTGCCCATACATATTCGTGGAAGTTAACTTGTGAATAAATAAGCGAGTGGCTTTCAACTGCAGATGTAACTTAGAATGAGATGGCATCTGTTTCCACGCCAAAAAATTTTAAAATAAAACTTATAATACTTAGATTTCTTTCAATAATTTATTATTTATAAAGTCCTTTTGCATACACCATCATTCCACTGGTACTTACAACAATATCAGACCCATTTTCAAAGTAAGAGCGTTCATGTTCATAGGAAGTCATGCAACTGCATGAAAACTCAAGTATTCAGCTAAAGACCCACATCCTATGTCACATACCATTGAGAGAAATAGCAACTAAATGGGATGGCAATTCTGTGAGTAAGCCCTGTAACAAAAAGATTGGGTCATTTCTTTTCTTCTATTCATTTTTCTTGTGTATAAATAAGAGAGGTCTACAAGGTGACCCCCGAGTTGAAGGGTCAACTCTAGCATATGAAATCTGCACACTCACATACTCATTAAACTCTCTGTCTCTGGACACCACATCAAGTGACCACGAGATGGCGATGCAGCTTAACTCAGCACCCAGGTCTGTAACCCCAGCATCTAATGAAAGCCATGCCCAAAGCAATTTCCCATATTCAGCAAATTTTAAAACATAGACATTCTATCATATTTGAGAACTCACCACCTCCCTTTTCAAATATGACTTCTGGATTTTCTTCATAGAGAAAATGTTTCAGGATGCGAACCATCCCTAAGAGCAAGCAAGAGGGACATCAACTTGAGGCCAGTGTTAGTCAACAGACCAAGAAAGTTCATTTACCTGATGGAAAACAAAGTATAATATCCACACCAGGGCAACTTTACCAGGTAGAAAAATTAGAGACTATGCATCTTCATCAGACTCTAAATTTCCATACTTTCAATACCAGATTTGTTCTCTGTTGAATCCCTGTAAATATTTAGTGTGAACAAATGCACTAAGCACCAACTAGGACTAAGCACCAACTAGGAGTACCTCAATATGATGGGGTCTAGGGAAGAGGTAGTCAGTCTTCTGTAAGAGTTCACAATCAGACTCATATATGTAACATATGTTTAATGAACACATATTATGTGACAAGATCATGTGTTAGGTCTCAGATAAATAGCATTAATAGTGGCTACTATTATTTGTTATTTATTGATTGCTAATTGCCACAGACTATGCATAGCACTCTAAATTTCAACTCATTAAATATTTATGAAAACATTACATATTAAGGGCTAGTAGCCCTATTTTACAGATAATGAAAGGTAAGCTCAAAGAGGTTAAGGCAATTTGCTAAGATTGCTACCACAGTTACTGAGTCCTGGTTTTACAACAATGGAAAAGCAAGAATACTGAGGATAGAGGAAAGGCATACACCAACAAACATAACACATACTATTCCTGACAATAACTAGAAGTGTAGTCCAGGACACTTTCAGAGCACAATGCTTCTTCCTTGCCTTGGTCCTTGAAATTCACTTCCACTGGTTCAGAAAAAGAAAAAAAGTAGATTTCTGATGTGTTTTACAATAGTCATTGTCTACCAATTCTCTCATGTCAGTATGGTCTTTAGCCGGCCGACTTGGTGATCCTTAATCCAGAACATTTTATTACCTCATTTGCAACCAGTGCTGCTACTGAACTTGTACTCTTCGAAATATTTCACAGGCAAGACTCCTCCAACCCATGCAGAAGCTAGAAAGACAGCAAAGAGACATGTTCTCAGAATGATATAACAAGAATCCCTCATCAAGGCTTGGTTTGTATCTCTGTTAAAACATAGTCAAGACATGGAATCAATCTAAATGCCCATCAATGGGGATAGACTAGATAAAGAAAATGTGGCACATATATACCATGGAATACTATGCAGCCATAAAAAAGAATGAGATCATGTCTTTTGCAGGGACATTAATGGAGCTGGAGGCCATTATCTTTAGCAAACTAACACAAGAACAGAAAACCAGATATTACATGTTCTCACTTATAAGTGGTAACTAAGTTATGAGAACACATGGGTACATAGCTAGAAATAGCATACAATGGAGCCTTTCAGAGAGTGGAGTGTGGGAGGAGACAGAGGATCATGAAAAATAGCAAATGTGTAATAGGCTTAATACCTGGGTAATGAAATAATCTATACAACAAATCCTCATGACACAAATTTACCTATGGAACAAACCTGTACATGTACCCCTAAACTTAAAATAAGTAAAAACAAACAGAAAAAAAGTTATTTTAAAAAGTTTATATCCCTTCTACCAAGGAGCATAGTTAATTCTGGCCTTAATTAGAACATATTTGCTGTGTGATTAACTGAAACATAAAATAATTCTATAATATACCAAGGCTCTGAAATAAATACTATTTTTTTTGTTAACTTGTAGTGTGGGTCCCAAGATATTTTTGCCTCATGTCAGCTGTTCT